CGCCTGCGCTGTGGGCCACCGCCCTCCCTTTGTGTCGCCTCCTGGAGCTCAGTTTGGAAAAGGTCGGAGACAAAGGGGTTCGACTAGGAAGCCGCTCCCCAGGGGCCGAGTCCCCGCAGTGGGTATGCGAGCGGGAGCGACACGTCTAGGCTCTGCCCCTTGCGCGCCTTCTGCCGTGGAGGCCGCTGCCCTCCGGGGGAGACCACCACATCCTAGGCAGCCTCCGCCCTGCCGCTATCCCGGACCCTTCGGCTCACCGGGCTTCTCCCGGCGCTGCCCCTCTCCTCCCCTTCGCCCTCCTCCCCTCCTGTTTTCCCCAGCGCCTCTCCCGGTCCGAAACTCCCGCATTTAGGGCTCCCTGAAAAGGCCCCCCGCCAGCGAGCGCGTTGCCTAGACGACGGCCCGGCGGCCAGGCCCCGCCCCCGCCCGCCTGAGTCCCTCCCCCAAGGGCGGGGCCGGGCGCTGCAGCCTTTGTGCCCTGCGCGCTGGGCTGTTCCGGTCTTCGCCCGGCGGCGGCTGCCCGGGGAGCTGCGCTTGCCACCCCGGCTGGCTTCTGCTTTGAACCCTCCTCCCCTGCCCGGCCCGGCCCTGCGCTCCGCGCGTCTTGTTCGCCAGGTCGGAGAGCGGTGTTTTCCTGAACCCTCTCTGCAGCCGCGGTCTCGGAGAGCCGGGTCCGTGGTGCAGCGCGTCGTGTCTGAGTCAGCCGGAGCTCCGCGCCAGGGCGGTTTTCTGTTTCTCCCATCTCTTAATTTGGACAGTGTCGGTTTTCAGCTGGTATCTCTGGGGTTTACGCCGTTGCAAAACAGGATACACCAGTTTAGGCATAAAATAATCGTTCAAATGGTCGCACGTTCTGGTGTTTCGGCACGTTCGATGAAACACTGACTTCCAAGCCTTGGGAATTTAAAACGAGTATTCTGCGCATTCCAGCCACGTTTCGGACTAAATTAGTCACGTTTAGAAACAGGTCGTTAACTGCGGTGGTGCTCATCCCCCGCCTATAGGGATTTCTTGATGCGGACGTCAGTTCCGCGAACGATGCGAAATGGAGCTGAGTCGTATTTGGAATCGGATCGTTCCCGCTGGAACGTTGCGGTGGAGCGACGAGTACTACTTGCACTTCGAAGTACGCAGGTTTACTCTTCACCCTTAAATCCCATCTCACCGCCACATCAGGAGAGCGTTCTCCTCGCCATTTGGGGAAATGGCGGTTTATTTTACTTGTGGATTACCATTTCTTGCTGTCTTGGTCTTGGCCCAGTTGAAAGGAAAGGAGAGAAATTTCATTTCTACAGCATTTATTGGAAAGACTGTGACGCGATGACAGGTGGAAATGGATGTGGAGAGACAGTGCGAGGTTGAACAAGAAAAATTAAGCCTTTTCCTCAAAGGCCATGAGTAATTTAAAATGCAATAGCAAAAAAGGTTTTTGAATCCTGGCATTCATTAACTCTAAAACAAATATCATTTGTCGCAACTCAAGAATAAAGATTAGAAGTAATTTACCCCTTCCAAAAGAATCCGTAGATAAACTGGGGTTTGATCTAGGTTATCTTTCCAAAAATCACACTACGATGTAAATAATCTTTTCATTCCTCTCCTGTTCATTGTCTTCACAGACACATAAACTGAAAAAGCATCTGATTCACTGAACAGGAAACATTTGCCAAGTCCCTGCCACGTGCAAGGTACCGTTCTACATGCAGGGGATATCCCAGTCAGTGAGGAGTTTATGTTCTATAAAATGTTTAAGCCACATCTTGGCTTAAAAAGCCAGAAAATATTTTTATTAGTTTTACAATGTGGTTCTCTGAACCAGTGTGAAGACCAATAGATAGGACATAATAAAATGAATACTTTTTAAATTTAACACTAAGGAAAAGTGTTGTATTTTGAAGACATTTGAAGGAATCTTGGCTGTTTCAGTTTTGCTCTGTATGGTGTATTGCAAAAGTAGGTGCTAAAACTTTTTTTCTAAAATTACTACATTTCCAGCCTAACAAGATGCCTAAATAAAATAAACATACAAAAATAAAAATAAAATAAACATACAATTCTTTTTTAAAAAAATAATTTCTTATTTAACTTTTTTTATTCATTTATTTTAATTTGACTAGGGAGGAAGAGAGAGAGAAAAAGTAAGCTGCCAGGGCCAGGACTCAAACCACGGTTGCCATGTGGTCAGCACACGTGTCCTATAGTAAATTAAGAAAAAGCAAAAACAAACTACTTTTTATGAGTTCCACATGTTCTCACGGATTGTGGCTGAGATTTTTGCTCATTTTCTTTTAAAGAGTTATTTATTTAATCCCATTTGTTATTGTTATTTCTTTAATTTGACCAGAGAGAGAGAGAAAGGAAAGCGAGAAAGTAAGCCACCAGGTTTGGGACTTGAACCACAGTTGGCCATGTGGGAATCCAGCACCTTTTACCACCATGCCACCTGCTGACCCATCATTATCTTTTTTATTAAGAGAGATTTTTTTTTTCTACAGGGTGTATGCACTTGGTGGAGAGAGACAGACAGACAGAAAGCAAGAAATCACCCCCCGGGGAGATGACCACACTGCAGTCCCTTCCCCTCCATTCACCTCTTGGGATTTTGGGCATGCATGCACCCACACCCAGCATGAGCTTTACGTCGCCAAGTCTAGGACTAGAACCATGGTCAATTTATATGGGAATGCATCAACATAACTATTATGCATTCTGCTGGTCTCAATTTTCCTTTCTATCCTATTCTTTTTATTATTATTATAATTACTTAATTTTGGGGCCAGTGGGTAGCAAGGTGGTTAAGGTGCTAGACAGCCACATGGCCCACCGCAGTTTGAGTCTAAGAGCTGGCGGCTTCCTTTCTCCCTCTCTCTCTATTAAAATGAGAATGTTGGGCCAGCAGGGGTTATGTTGCTAGACTCCCACATGTCCAACCGTGGTGGTTTGAATCCCGGGCCTGGTAACTTGAAACTCACACCAGGTGTGTGGTTTGTATACCCAAGATCCCAGCAGGACAATGGAGAAGGGACTGCTGGGTGACCATCCTCCCTGGGGGTAAGATTTCTTACTTTCCCTCCACTGTCGCTGTCTCTCTATGATGAGTGCATAGGCCCTAAGGCCAAAACCTCTTAAAAAAATGATAAAATTAAATAAATTCTGATTTTTTTTAAGAATTATTTTGATTGAAATTTACCTGTTTTATTTATTTGTTTAATTTCACCAGAGGGGGACAGAGTGAGTGAGAGAGAGAAAGTGAGAAAGCAAGCCACTAGGTCAAGGACTCAAACCACAGCTGGTCATGTGGGAGTCTGGCGTCCTTAACCACCATGCCACCTGCTGGCCCCCAAATTAAATAAATTCTAATTTAGGGGGAACCAGCAGTTAGCGTAATGGCTATGTCACTGGACTCCCACATAGTCGACTGCGGTTCACGTCCCAGACCCAGTAGCTGAGAACTCACGCCAGGCGCGTGTGCATGCGTGCCCAAGATCCCGAGAGGAGAATGGAAGAGAAGGGATTGCGGCGTGACCATCCCCCCTGGGGGTTGATTTCTCGCTTTCTGTCTCTCTGTCTGTCTCTGGCGAGCACACGTGCCCTATAGCGAAAACCTCCCCCCCAAAAATAATAAATTCTAATTTTAAGGAAGAATGATTTATTATGATTATTTTAAAATTTTGCTCTAGGGCATTCATTCTCACCAGAGAGAGTGAAAGAAAGTGAGACAATGGGGTCAGCAAGTGGTGTGGTGGTTAAGGAGGTTGGACTCCCACATGGCTGACTGCAGTTTAAGTTCCAGACCTGGCAACTTGCTTTCTCACTTTCCTTTTCTCTGTCTCTCTGGTTGACTTAAAAAATAAATAAATAAATAAATAAAATAATGACAATGAATAAAATTAAAAACAAAAAAAAGAAAGTGAGAAAGCAAGTTGCCAGGTCTGGGACTCAAACTGCAGTTGGCCATGTGGGAGCCCAGTACTCTTTTTTGTTGTAAAGAATCATTTTATTTCATTTTATACATAATTATTACTATTTTTTTGAGCGGTTTTTCTATAGGGAGTGTGCACTTGCCACAAAGACAGAGAGAAACAGAGACATAACCATTACGCCAACTGCTGGTCCCACTATATATATATTATTAATGTGACCAGAGAGAGAGAGAGAGAGAGAGAGTGAAAAAGCAAGTAGTCAAGTCTGGACTTGAACCACAGTCCGCCATGTGGAAGCCCAGAACCCTAACCACCGTGCCACCTTGTGGCCCACTCATTTTCTTTTTATACTATAATATCTAATATCTGAATCTGAGCTTTCTCCCTCAAGTTTTCTAAAAATTATTTAATTATATTTATTCATTCATTCATTTATTTTAATTTGACCACAGAAAGACACAGAGAGGGAACTAGCAGTTAGAGTAATGGCTATGTCACTGGACTCCCACGTAGTTACCTGTGGTTCGAGTCCTGGACCTGGTGGCTTAAAAATCACGCCCGGCGCATGTGCGTGCATGCCCAAGATCCTGAGAGGAGAATGGAGGAGAAGGGATTGAGGGGTGACCATCCCCTCTGGGGGGTGATTTCTCTCTTTCTGTCTCTATGTCTCTCTCTGTCTGGCGAGCGCACGTGCCCTATAGCGAAAACCTCTCAAAAAAAAAAAAAAAGACAGACACAGAAGTGAGAAAGTAAGCCACCAGGTCCAGAACGCAAACCGTGGTCAGCCATGTGGGAGAGTCCAGCGCCTTAACCACCATGCCACCTGCTGGCTCTCCATCAAGTTTTCACTGTCCGAATTTCTTCCCACCTGCACGACAAATGGACTTCACTCACTGTCCGAATTTCTTCCCACCTGCGCAACAAATGGATTTCACAGGGGATTAATTCAGCAATGTTTAACAAGGCCTTTTCTTTTCTTTTCTTTTCTTTTCTTTTCTTAAGAGAAATCTTTGCTATAGAGCTTATGCTCTCACCAGAGAGACAGAAAGCGAGAAATCCTCCCCCATGGAGGACGGCCACACTGCAATCCCTCTCCCCTCCCAATCTTGGGCATGCACACACACTTGCCCCTTGCGTCTTAAGCCTCCAGGTCTGGGACTCAAGTTGTGGTCAACTATGTGGGAGTCCAGTGACGTAACCATTATGCCATCTGCTGGTCCCCAATGAGGCCTTTCCTGAATTGGGTGCACAGCACAGCCAGAAGCTCAGGGAATCTACAAGCTCTTGTACTCAGGGAGAGCAATATAAGGCAAACAAAATGACATCAGGACAAGTAAAGTGTAGGGCAGTGAGAGGGAATATTCCGGGAGAGTTTCTAGGTGGGAAGTGAGTCGCTCAAGCATAGGAGCCTCACACATTAGAACACAGTTTACATTAGAAGGCACCTTAGCCTGAAACAGTTGTGGGGATGGGCCCCAGGAGTCTGAAAAGTTTTTAAGTACTCTAGAAAGACTCTACTTAGTTATTCACATTTCTTTGGGGTGGATGGTAGAGGATGCCTACACTAGCTGGAGAGAGTGGGTGGGAGAGAACAGCCCTGTGGGTAATAGTCACACATTTCTCCCATCTTTCAGGATTTGGGGGACACAGCCATATGCACCTGGGCTGTGTCTCAAGCCACTGGGTCCAGGACTGGAACCATGTAGTCTGTCGTGGAATCCCGCCACCTTTGCCACCTCCAGATGCTGGCCCAATTATTTATCTGCCTTTCAGTAGATCACCACAGCAAACTAAATATAGAACCGTGGAACCTCTGTTTTTTTGTTTTGTTTTAGAGAGATTTTTTGCTATAGAGCATGTGTGCTCACCGGAGCAAGACAGAGAGACAGAAAATAAAAAAATCACCCCCCAGGGGGATGGCCACCCGGAAATCCCTCCTCCACTCTCCTACTGGGATATTGGGCAAGCACACACAGGCGCCTGGCGTGGGTCTCAAACCACCGCGAATCCGTGGGAGGCAAGCGACATAACCGTAATGCCATTTGCTGGTTCCCCTCTGTGTTCTGTCGAAGACTGCTAAAGCAAAGGGGAAATTTTTGCTGTTTTTCTGGCAGTTTTGCAAGACACCAATGAGGCCACGTTTGTCCTGATAATTTGAAAATAAGGAGAGAGTTTTGCTTTCAGTAAATAGGTGACAACTTTCAACCTTAACCTGAATCCCTAGCAGACGCTCTGGTCCTGCATCCAGAGCGAGCGGCTGCATACTGCGAGGCAGGCACGCTGTGCTGGGGTGCAGTACTGGGATGCGGGCGAGCTGGGTGCGCAGGTGCAGGTGGTGTGTCTGGCTGCTCTCCGCCTGTTGGGGCGTACACGTGCTCCGCGAGCACGGAGGTCGCGCGGCGTCCCTCGCAGCGGCAGCGCACGCAGGACCAGCGGGGGGCAGGGACCCCGGACTAGCCCTGCGTCAGCGCACATGCGCACGACCTGCGGGAGGCGGCAGGGAGCGCCGGGCGGGGCGTCCTCCGGTGGCCTGGGGCTGCAGCGCCCCCGCCGCGGAACCCTTCCCCGCCACCCATTCCCCAATTCCAGCCGCGGCGGCCAGGAGCCAAGGCAGAGGGCGGCGCTGACCTCCCCTTCCGGCACCACACGGGGTATCCGGGCTGCGGGGGCGGGCCTCCTGTGGGCGGGGCGCCGTGCGCGCGGGGCGTGCCCTCATGTGGGCGTGGCACGAGGTGGGCGGCTCCGTGCGTGTGGGGCGTGCCCCTGGTGGGCGGGGCGCCGTGCGTGCGGGGTGGGCAGGGCTCAGCGCTGCGTGACCCACTGGTCCCTGGGTTTCCAGCGTCCCTGGTCCCTGCAGCCGGCATGCTGCGGACGCACGGGTCCCGGCTGGGCGCCCG